CGGCCCGGGGTTGGGGACGTTTTTTCCCGACACAGCGGCACCAGAGCCGGGGTGCAACACTCCAAAAGCGGAGCAGGTGCTGACCCCCCTCCAGGCCACTGCAGACCCTGTCCCCCCCCAGGGAGTCCCAGCGGTGACAATGGCATGGCCAGGGAGGGCAGGGCACCCCGGGGACACTGTGGGGACACCCCAAGGCACCCCAGAAGAACGGCAGGGCATGTCTCTGGGGCCAAGGAAAGGACTGAGGGGACCCTTGGGGACACATCAGGGCAGCACGGCTACGGTGCAGAGTGCGTGTCCCCAGTGCTAGGAGAGGGATGGGGCACCCAGGGGAGCATCTCTGGGGATGGGAGAAGGATGGGGGGCCCTGGGGACCACCCCGAGCCCATCATTGTCACCACGAAAAGGATGGGGCACCCCAGGGATGCACCCAGAGCTCATCATCACTACTGGGAGAAGGATGGAGCACCCTCAGGGTGCATCTCGAGGGCTGGGAGAAGGATTGGGCACCCCGAGGATGCATCTCTGGAGCTGGGAGCAGGACAGGGTACCCCAGGGGTGCACCCAGAGCCCATCATGTCACTGGGAGAGGGACAGGGCACCCCAGGGGTGTACCTCCACGGCCAGGAGAAGCATGGAGCACCCCAGGGATGCACCCAGAGCCCATGATTATCTCCAGGAGAGGGACGGAGCGTCCTGAGAGTACACCCCTGGGGCCGGGAAAAGGATGGAGCACCCCGAGGTGCACCCAGAGCCCATCGTCACCACGGGAGAAGGATGAGGCACCCTGGGGGTGCATCTCTGGGGCCAGGAGAAGGACAGGGCACCCCAAGGGTGCATCTCTGCAGCGGGGAGAAGGACAGGGAACCCCAGGGACGCACCCAGAGCCCATCATTGCCATTGGAAGAAGGATGGGGCACCCTGGGGATGCATCCCTGGGGCTGGGAAAAGGACGGGGCACCCCAGAGAAGCACCCAGAGCCCATTGTCCCCACTGGGAGAAGGATGGGACACCCCAGGGACGCACCGAGAGCCCATCATTGCCATTGGAAGAAGGATGGGGCACCCTGGGGATGCATCCCTGGGGCTCGGAAAAGGATGGAGCACCCTGAGGGTGCACCCAGAGCCCATCATCAGCACCGGGAGAAGGATGTGGCATCATGAGGGTTCATCCCTGGGGCGCTGGGAGAAGGAAGGAGCACCCTGGGGGATGCATCTCTGGGGCTGGGAAAAGGATGTGGCCCCCTGAGGAAGCACCCAGCACCCTTCTCCCATGTTTGGGGGGCAACGACAGCTCCTGTCCCCGCGGTGGGGCTGAGAGCCGGGATGGCCAGCCCTTACCTGCCCGTTCTTGCAGAGGTCGGCCCACATGCTGGTGCCGTCACCGCCACGCATGAGGACGTGGTAGGTGAAGAAGTAGGTGCCGGGGATGGCGCAGGTGAACTTGCCGGAGGTGGCATCGTAGCTGTTGCCCAGGTTGGTGACGACGTCGTCGAACTTGAGGACCTCGTAGCCCTCGTGGGGGTTCTTGAGGCCGGCGTAGAAGGCGACGCGTGGCACCGTGCTGTAAGTAGCTGCGCTTACAGCACACTTACAGCACCCGTAGCCCCCGGTCCCGGTAATCCCGGGGGTCCTGGTCGTCCTGCTTCACCTCGTGCTCCCACCGGTCCCGGTGGTCCCGGTTCTCCCGGTGGTCCTGGTGGTCCCGGTTTCCCCGGTCGCCCTGGTTTACCTTGAGGACCTTGCACCAAGGTGGAGGGCGGCGGGAGGGGACCGCGTTCGGCCGGTTGCGGAGGGGGAGCGGCGGCGGGGCCGTAAGGCTCACAGACCATACGACACGTTCCCAACATCTCGTACCGG